TCCTCCTGTTCATTCATAATTGTAGTTATAGTAAACATACCATGTTATCAATGAACAGGAACACTCATAAAGGATTCCTGTTCATTGATAACAGGGGACACAGAAAAAGAGATTGAGGCCTCTGTGTCCTCAATCTCTTTTTCTATTTTTAAAGGGAAATATCAGGGGTCTGTTTAGACCCCCAATATTTCCCCGAAGCCCCTAAAAGTAAAGTAAAAAATAAAAATATTTAATAAAAAATTAATTAATAAATAAAAATTAATTTAAAAAAATGAAAAAGTTTCTAAAAAAATAAAATATTAAAATTTGAAAAATTAAAATAAAAACATGTGTGTGTGGAGGGGAGGTGCAGGGTACAGTTCCAGTGGTTGTTTATATAATGGGGGGGGCGAAAAAAAATTCTGCCCCGGGCGCCCAGAACTCTGGTTACGCCACTGTACCTGAATGACAAACATGTGTCATTAAAACTTTTTTTGCTTCATGTTCAAATGGTGTGCTGGTGACATTTTTGATCCTGAGAAATCACAGAAGCAATAGGAATGAATGCAGATAGCTCGGGACAAATGTGTTTACGGAGATGTGTCGTGTCGGATCATTCGTAATCTTCACTTCTAATGAGACCGTTCTCTGCGCAGATAATATATGACTCCTTATCGTGCAGCAAATAAAAGCCGCGCTCAGGGAGATTCATGGCTATAATTAGAGGCAAACATTAGTGCGCTCGCTATAAAATCGTGCAGCCGTATATGGGAACCGTCTCCGCAAATGCCGCATTACTTATCAACAGGCTTCGTTATCCACATCCAGGGCGGCGGTTTGGGGGGGCGGGTTGATAAAAACGTGGATCATTTTCACTTACAGGTCCCTGTCCCAACCCTGTGACTGGACTAGTGAAGGAGAAGCAGCACACTGATGAGGTCATCTTCCTGTCCAACAGGGGAGGGGACTTGACCTTTCTCATCTGCAGTTTCGCTTTCATTTACAGGTCCCTGTCCCAGCCCTGTGACTGAACAGTGAAGGAGAAGCAGCACACTGATGAGGTCATCTCTCTGTCCAACAGGGGAGGGGACTTGACCTTTCTCGGCTGAAGTTTCACTTAGAGGTCCCTGTCCCAGCCCTGTGACTGGACAGTGAAGGAGAAGCCGCACACTGATTAAGCTCATTTCTCTGTCACTCTGCTCTCTCCTCTTATCAACTCCTTGCGCTGCAGCACACCTGATTGGCTCCTTATGCTGCTTCTCCCTCCCCTTTCTGAGGTCTGCTCTACGGAATGTACTGTAAACGGCAGGTAAAATGAGCCTTTTATATCTACCTGGAGTTTAGCTGTAACATGAAATTATGTATTTTTTGATGACTGCAGTTCTAGTCTGAGCTATGCTTCCAGAGGCGATGCTGAAATTATTGCAGGCACAGAAAATGTTGTCAGTAGTTCAGGCCAGGGGCGACAGTGATGCCCAGGAGGAGACTTCCCAGGCAAGGCTGTGTGTGTGTTTTAGATATAGTTCCTATTAGGTCTCACAATTTATTCCTGCAGTTCCTGCGTTGGCTCCTGGTGGTTGTCACCCAGGCGATTAATGCACCGGGCCGCCCCAGGGAGGTCATTCCGAGGCCAGCGCTGTAAAAGTGGAACTTCGGGCAGAACTCATTTCATGCAGTGGAGTCAATGTTGATGGTCTGCGCTGTTTTACTGCCAATAAAGATTCTTCAACACAACCATCGGCCTCGCAGCCGCTCGGAATTCTTGCGGTCTGATCAGAGTTTGATTCGGTTTGCGACCAATTCAGTTCGCAACCAGAGTGACTCGCAGAATGTTGTTTGACATTTCTTTTAATTTTAACATTCGATTTTAGAATGAATAAAGTTTCCCAAAGGAAAACCACTTTTACTATTAGAATATCATTCAAGAAAAAAATGTAAAACTCAGCATGTGAAAACCAATGATTGCCTATGGACATGGTTCCCTCCTGGGCGTTTTACAGTTCATAGGATTGAAGAAAATAGGTCACCAGCACTCCATAAGTTAAAATGAATGAGTCCTTTTAATGGACAATGATGTCACAGAAATCCAACATGAGCCGACGTTTCGGGGCCACACAGGGTCCCTTCTTCAAGGCAAGAGATGTGACCAGCGGCCGCCTGGGTCACTATGGCGATTGTTACGCCACTGCCCAGTGGCCTGACTCTCCCATGATCGCTACAAGATCAAATTAGTGCAACCCTGGATGGAATTAAATGTTGTGACATTGCATAAGATCATCAAAACAATGTCACGGTAACTACGTGCCGTAATCAAAGCTAAAAGCGGTCGAATGAAATGTTAGAGTGACTTTTTCTTCATTTTTTTGGGCCAGGCATTGTATTTACATGTTGTCATTTGCGACATAAATCCCAAAAAAACAAGCAGATTATTCTTCAGTGGATGGAGCCGTAAAAGTGGTCCCTTTAAATCCCTGTTGCCAACTGTAAATCCGGAGCGGCAGATTTATCTGGATTGTAGTAAACACAAAGCCAGCACAAAGACGAAGCAAAACCAAAGCTTAGACAGCTGAGCTCATCCGCAGAAAATAAGTCAGAGAGCTTTAGGAACTTTTTCTACACTTCAGATGACAGATTGCTGGTATATGGAATGTTTGTTAAATATTTCCAGAACCTTTTTCTTTTTATATTAAAAGGTGAATGCTTCACATTTTAAGTCACGACTCGGTTTTAACGCCATTCTAAAAAGTTGCTATCTGTCTCCCCCTGGAGGGTGTTTGTGGATTTCTATTCTAATACACACAAGCAGAATTGTATGTAAAAAGCACGCAGAATACGCAGTTTTCAGTCCACGTTCTCATATCTGTGTTCAGTAACAAAAAAGTGATCTGTTGGGTTGCTAAACTTCAAACGCTGTTTATTGGGCTCTTATTGATTATCTTTGAGGTTGGCATCTTTTTCAAAAACAAAATATGAGCGGAGACCTTTTTATTATACATTGTGAAAAGCAGATGAAAAAGCCGGCTAGAGGCCCTGATACAGAAGACAGAACGTGTTCTTGTCAGTGCTGGAGACTACAATGCAGTTCATTTAGAGATCATGTCAGATTTCTCCACAAACCCACTTCAGGCGCAGGTGTGACGATCAATAACCACTCACCATCTATCGCCTTTCTCTAATTATCAGAATGTCAGCTCAGAAGCTGCACCCCCCCGCCTTCCCGCCCCGGGGACTCGAGGGATACTATTTCCTGTGATAATTGGAAAGCTCCAGATTATGTGGACAGAACTCTCCTATGGAAGCTACATTTCCTGATGTCATTCTTTTATGGTATACACATAGAGCCGCCACCTGCGTGAACTATGGGGCAGAGCGGTTACACAGCCATTCTGCTTTTTCTTTCAGGCTCAATTACTAAAGAGTAAGGCCTCATTCACACTGGGCATGCACGCCCTTAACAGCTGATCCCGGGAGGTACAGGTGCTGCGTGTGATTGTGCACAGCAGCCTGTTCTTCCTTAAGGTGCCCATACACTGCACGATTCTCGTACGAGAATCGGGGGAAATCCCGCGATCGTACGAGAATCGTGCAGTGTATGGAAGGCGTGCGACCGTTTCTACTTTATGGTCGCACGTCTTCCGTGGAACCAGCAGGCTAGAAAACCCGCCGGGAATCATACGATTCTCGGGGAGTTAGTGGCCTGCTGGTTCGACAACTGCCGAACGGCCCGCTGTGCGTTTGCAGTCATCTTAAGCCCGCCCCTCATTGCAGTCATCGTAAGCCCGCCCCCCAGGGGGGCGGGCTTGCGATGATCGCAAGTACGATCTGCCTGTCCAAGATGGGCAGATCGTCCGTTTTTTTAAGTACTTTACAACCCTCGGAGGACAAAAGTCTTGCAAGGGTTGTAAAGTGTATGGGCACCTTTATGGGAGGACGCGGCTGTATGCTGTTATCCGTGCGAGTGTCCACACTTGGATGGATCCTAACTGCGTCCAATTTCGGACCCCCGTACGCATGTGCAATTCGGGTATCTGTATGACACTGTACAGCTCTGCATGCAATCACACGCAGCACCTGTCCCTCCCGGGATGGGCCCGTTTACAAGCATGCACGCCGCACGGACGTGTACGCCCATTGTGAATGAGGCCTTAGGACTCATCTCGCTTCTAGTAACCCACATTGGAACCCTTTTGTTTGGGATATTTGAACGGTTTGCTCCAATGTTTGAACAAGAGCCGCCCAAGCCAAAAGGAGAGGGCCTCATGCACATTCAACCAAGAAACAGACGAGGGTGTGGGGGTAGAAAGGGCAGTTGGGGGTGGGGGGGGTGGGGTGCCACCAAAAACCAATGTAGTTTTCTTATTTAGCAAACATGATAAACCATCCAAAGCGTTTTAGGGCGATGCTGAAATTCATTGGCTGTTTAATCATGTTGGATTTTTGTAAATAAAAACTACATTGCACTACAAAACTACATGCAATACGCCCCACGGGGGGTTCTCCGAAATGCGTTGGCTGTTTTACTTTTTTTTGGAAATAAAAAACGATATTAGACCTCTTTCACATCAGGTCCGCCTGTCAGTTTTTCAGGCGGTTAGATGTTAGTCTATGGGCAGCCGGATGTAAATTGGCAGGTGTCCGTTTACACCCGGTTACCCCTGGTTCCGGCCAGGTTCAGAAAACAAACGGATCAGAGATCCATTTCACTGGACCTGACCATGCCGGATAGGGGGTTACCGGATGTGAACAAATGACCGACTGTTTAGAACTGGCTGCCCGTACACTAACATGTTTTTTCCCCCCTCCATCTTGCTACAGAGGAAAAAACTGCACGGACATGGATGTCACAATGGTGACACCCGTTCCAATCAGGACCCCTCCTGATCAGACTGTGTGAAAGGGACCTTACACTACAAATCTACATACAATATGCCCTTGTCTGTTTCTTGGTTGTATGAAAATCAGTCAGACTCACGCAACGGTCATAAGGGTCTTCCTGCACGTCCAAGCCTATATACGGCATGGACAGGTCTTTCTGCTTCCAGGGCAGGCATGTATAGATGAGTGGGAAGTTCCTTGCACCAGGGCACATTGTTCCTTAGGTCCGCCACTGGTGGGAACTGGACGCACGGAGTGGGATAAGGTAAGTGAAAGAGAGGGATAAGGTAAGTAAAACTGGTACCCTAGATAAAAACATATGTTTAAAGCCTAACTCCAGGGGAAAACCTATCTGTACAGTCGGACCACCCCTGCATTGCAAGGGTTAACTGCTTGTTTAGGTCTAGGGCACTCTTTCTCAACCATGGTACTGTCTGGCTTCATCAGGTCCACCATGAAATTTCCGCACAGCGTGATACATTTCCATAGTGCAGATGGGCTAGCCGCCATCCCCAGACAAATGCATGACTCCAATCCTTGTTAGGAGGGGAGCTCTGATGTGAATGGGGGAACCCTATGTTGTTGGGGGATGTTTTTGTTTGTTTTTTTTGTAGACCCTAGTATAAAAAGTAATAAACGTAAATGTAAAAAGCGACGTAGGGTCACCCCTTAGAATCCACAGCAGATGGATATACTAGATATAATACTATCTAGTATAAGGGTCTGATATGGATATTGAGGGGGAGGGGGGACCACACGTCCTTTTTTACATTTTAGACTGGGGTGCCTTGAGATTTTGCTTAGGGTCCCGTAACTAACATTGCTCTAGCGCTATTGCGTAAAGCAATTTTACTTACCTGATCCCCGCTTCTGCACACTCCAAGACCAGCCACCCCGTCCGACGGAGGTCCCTGATGTCATTATGTGCCCATAACCCTGCATTATACATGAGGACACCGATGGTCAGTCTCCAAGCCGTAAAGGGGGGAAAGGTGAGTGCCAGGGGAGTGGGGATCAGGTAAGTAAAAGTCCTTTACATAGCTTCCCCTAGACATTAACAAGCGTAAACCCTTACAGTGCAGGGAAGCACCGCTGCAAGAGAAGATTTTTTTTTACCTGGAGCTAGGCTTTAACCCTTGCAGTGCGGGGAGGGTATGATTGGGATACTGCAAGGGTAGTTTTAACATTTCCCCGGAGTGCAGCTTTAAAGTGATGTTTGTCCTTCATACATAAAACACTTTCTATGTTACTCAGCAATAATTTGCACTTTGAACTCAGTTCTTGCCAGTTACAGTTCTTTGCCTGCCTTGTGTTCCTATTGGTGCTCGCCATGGGGTGTGTAACAGCCCTGCTACAAAGTAACACAACATATACTATCCACACTGTACTGGACCTGGGCCATTGTGTCATATAGTAGCTGACAGATCTCCATATATAATGAAAATAGACATTCACAGCCATATACTTCCCCGAGAATGGCCGGATCTCAAACAGGTAACAATATTACTTTATACGGATACAAGCTGTATTATATAATATATAGTTAGATACGAGCTGTATTATATAAAAAGATACAAGTTGTATTATATAATATATAGTTAGATACAAGCTGTATTATATAATATATAGTTAGATACGAGCTGTATTATATACATAAATACAAGCTGTATTATATAATTTATACACATGCATACAAGCTGTATTATATATATTATACACATGCATATAAGCTGTATTATATATATTATACACATAAATACAAGCTGTATTATATATATTATACACATAAATACAAGCTGTATTATATATATTATACACATACATACAAGCTGTATTATATATATTATACACATAAATACAAGCTGTATTATATATATTATACATAGACACAAGCTGTATTATATATTATAGAGAACATTTTCAGTAATCACACATATTTTGAGTCATTCTTATGGCAATTTTCATGTAATGTTCAAATTTTTACAGGCTCGGTGTACCATATTTCCATCACTGTATTTTGTGCGCAGATTGGTGATTGGTCCGTAGCGCTGTCTTTGACATCAACCAGCCTTATTTCCCTGATCAGCAACCAATGAGATAAAATCACAGCCACACAAGGAGTGCATTGTTTTCAGGAATTTGGGGCGCAGGATTTAGGTGGTGGCCTCTCGTCTTTGTAATGGAGTTAATTTTAAACAGTTTATCGCTAATGTTGCTACCACCATTGAACATTTTGTACATGGAAATCATATCCCCCCTTAATCTCCTCACCTCTAATGTGAACATTATGATATGGAAAGTGTTCCAAATGCTTTATTGATTGAGCCGCACATCTGGCCGCCCCCATGTACGTATACTATCAAAGACAATGGGTCCAATTTGTAAAAGATTTTGCGCCACTTTTCTGGCGTTATGGCTGTTTACAAAAAGCCAAAATCAATCAAGCTGCGTCAAAATCAATTAAGCTGTATATCACATTTCTTGCTATTTCCGAGATCTGCGACAAATTAGGCCTTGTTCACACCAAGCGCGGAGCAGGTGCAGAGCAGAGCAGTTGCAGACTGGATCAAAACTGCGTCCAATGTATTCCAATGGTATTTTTGGCTCCAGTTCGCATTGCAGCGTGCAGTTCCAGAGCAGGTCCAGAGCAGGTGAAAAAACTGCAGCAAGCCCTATTTTACCTGCTCTGGATCTGTTCTGGAACGCATGCAAACGCATCAAAAACGCATGCAAATGCCTGGAACGCACTGAAAGCCCATGTTAAACTAAAAAAAAAACCCTGAGTGGATCTGCTCTGCATTTGGTGTGAACAAGGCCTTAGGGTAGTGCTTATGTGGCACTATGGTTACAACAAATGTATTAACAACTATTTGTAGTCAGAGCCCCACTGATACGTACCCGAGAATCGAGATGATGAACCTGCCTACAATGACCTGGGGAGTGCCGTGGTCACTATGGTCAGTATGCAAAATAAGGGGGCATACTCAGAGTAAAAGTAACTGAAAAAAAGGGGTGAGGCGGGTGGGATGACACCCACGAGCCGACGGGTGAGTGGGGGAGACGGAGCAGCTTAAATGTGTGGGGCTCCTCCCACAAATATGGCTAATTAATTAGCCTACCACTTATTTATTATAGTATCAGTATTATTATTATTTATCATTTGTATTTATTTATGATTTATTTGTAAATGTGCTGTAGCACTTAACTGTAAGGCCTCATTCACACTGATAAGAGCCGGCTCGGATGTGCAGTTCGGGTGAGCGTACAGCGGCGTACTCCCATGGAGAAGAACAGGATGCTGCGTACAAATCACACACAGCACCTGTCCTTCCCGGGAGCGACCCGATACGGCCATGCATGCTGCACGGATCTGTACAGGCCGACACTTATCAGTGTGAATGAGGCCTAAGTGTATCTGCATGTACAATTGTCTCTTAATCCCCCTCCAAAATACCTGTTGATGCTGCCATTAAAGTTCACCTAATGCAGCTTCCTGTGATGGGGTGGCAACAGCGCTGCACTGCTCCTGTGCAGGGGGATGAAGGGGGATCATTTGGCCCCCGAAATGCACATGGCTGTTTTCTGTTACCTCTGTGATAACCTTGAATTAATAAAATACAGTTCTGTATGTTCCTGATATATATATATATATATATATGTGTGTGTGTGTGTGTGTTTCGCAATCTTTCTGGTTTGACTACCTGTAAAATTCTGTCTGAGACAATTTTGCAAAAGTTTCATATCCACCATTGGCCCCATTCACACTTCACGTAGCGCGCGTTCGTGTGCATTCGCGTTTTCCCCACGTTTGCTGTGTGTGAGCCCGTTCAAGCAATAGGCAGAACATGAGCAACAGATGCGGGAAAGTAGCTCACGCAGCATTTCTATCTGTGAGCGTGCCGCTTTCTTCCCCCGTGTGCTTGTGCACATTTTACACGCATCCACGCACAGGAGAAACGCGCTCTTTCCTGGACTCGTTTTAGGGTGCCATTAAAAGTAATGGTACTGCAAACGTGTTGCATATTTTTAACGCGTTACCCGTTTTTAAAGCGTTGGGTGAATGGGCACCAATGTGTGAACAGGAACTGGCTGACATTAACATGACTCTGTCGCAGGTTGCGCCAATTGTTGCACGGGCGGGAGTTGGATGTGAACTGGAATTTTTTCAGCTCTACGGTTTTTCTTTTTCGACATAATAGTCTGCGAGTTTGACCCGAAGATTGCGAGCGGCTTCTGGCCGGGATTCGAATGCGCGTTCTATTTACACACATTGCTCCCGTCTGACCTGAGATGACAGAAGGGACTTTCACTGCTGCCGCCTCTTATCAGACCACTTTCTGTGCTGACTCAATAAAACTCTGCTGACTTATCGCATTAACAGGAAATGGACGTCTCTCCCCGCACAACGCATGGCAGGTGCACACACAATACACTGCTTGTAGGTACAGTCATAGGTGTAATTCCAATCACTGAAATCTCACGTAAGATGCAACATGTTTATATCATTCCAAAAATTGCTGTTTAACCTGAACTCTGGGAACAAAAATATATTCTTTAATAGCCTGAAAGGATATAAATCCACTTTGTGTGCACCGAGTGCCTTTGCAAACCCGGATATTACCTTGTAATAGTAACAGTGACATCATCACTGTGCTGCGTGAGATTTGTACGCTGCGCAGCAGCCTGTTCTTCTCTATGGCAGTACACGGCCGTATGCTCACCCGGACTGCACATCCATGCGGGTGTCCGTACTCGTACGCAGACAGGCTGCTGCGTACAAATCACACGCAACACCTGTCCTCCCCAAGAGCGGCCCGATAGCCGCTGCAGAGAGCAGAGCTGTGGGAGGGACCCAGCAGGCTCCACCCACTACAGGCTGCCTGCCAGGTTCACCCACTACAGAAGGGGGCAAAGACAGGACAAGTCACCCTGCACATGGAGAGAGAGCAGCAGTGACCGGTCTTTATTACAGAAGGGGGCAGAGACAAGACCAGTCACCCTGCAAAAGGAGAGAGAGCAGAAGTGACCGGTCTTTATTACAGAAGGGGGCAGAGACAAGACCAGTCACCCTGCACAAGGAGAGAGAGCAGAAGTGACCGGTCTTTATTGCAGGAGGGGCGGAGACAAGACCAGTCACCCTGCAAAAGGAGAGAGAGCAGAAGTGACCGGTCTTTATTACAGGAGGGGCGGAGACAAGACCAGTCAGCCTGTACAAAGTGCAATGCCAACAATCAGGGCCAATCCTATGATAAGGCAGTCTGAGGCTGTTGCCTCAGGTGGAACCTCTTTTGGATCATATGGGGGGCGGGGGGCAGGTAGAGCGGCATGAACGCTTGTTGATTGTTCATGCACCAAGGCTAGAGATGCCCTTACCAACGATCATTACACACAGACCATTATTGTCACTACCAGGAAGCCGGTCCAGAGCAATGATGTGCAGCGGTCGATGGAGCCAGTGCATGGAGACAGGAAATGGCTGAAAGATGCTGGAGGAAATCCACAACGCTGAGATGTAATAATGGGTGGAAAATAAAGGCGAACGTGGTGTTTTATGGGGAAAAAATTACAACTGTTTATAATACACAGTGCTTTACCAAACTAAGTGTCATCTGATTAGGGTTTATATCTACCTGATAACACTGGCTTTGCTAAGATATAGGGCAGGGGCAGGCAACCTTGGCACTCCAGCTGTTGTGGAACTACAAGTCCCACAAGGCATTGCAAGACTGACACTTACAGGCATGACTGCCAGAGGCATGATGGGATATGTAATTTCAGCACAGCTGGAGTACCGAGGTTGCCTACCCCGGATCTGGAGAGTAACTATAGCTATAGCAAACCATGCTACTGCTATGGGGCCCAGCAGCACTGGGGGCCCAATACTGTCCACCTGCATAATAATTTATACATGTTGTAATATCCTTGGGCATTTGGATGAACTGAATGTATCCATTATAAGTAGGGTTGCCACATGTCCAGGATTCACCCGGACAGTCCGGGTTTTGAATGCTGTGTCCAGGTTTCATGGCCGCAGAAACCCGGACACAAGATGTCAGGCAGACAGGGGCAACCAAAATTAAGATAGGGGCTACTTGCCCCCTGACTGAAAATAGTATCAACTGTGATATTTACATATGAATAACCCACGACTCATTCTTCCAAACAAATGTCCGCGCGCCGCTAGAGTGTTCGGATATCGCTGGAAGAAAAGGTGGCAACCCTAGTTATAAGGCTTCTATGAAGACAAAAAGGATTTCATTTTGCAAGAAGGATTGCCTTGAGGATGGGCCCCTATTGGCCCCTTGCTCTCTACCCTACTCCTACCCTGCTATGGGGCCCCATTATGCATAGTGACACCTCTGCCTAAGACAGAAGTTCCAGATTTCCTGCAAATTCCTGTAAATACATTTTCAACCGTATTTAGTGGGGACTGCTTTGCCAGTATTTATTGGATCATCCTGCCCTATTAATTGATCAATAGGCTGAGCAGGTCACAGACCTCCACCAGGGCGATCTTACAACTCCCAGCCCATCTCAGCCACTAAAATATTAATGAAGAGAGAAAGGTGACCTTCATTCGCTGCGCCATGTACTGTGCACCGAAGGACGGGCACACTTCCCCTGATAGCAATAAATAACTAATTCCCAGCTGAGAGCTCATCTGTCACAGAGTGCGGGGAAGGCAGGATCAATCTGTGCACATATCACTTTTATCATGGATGCTGCTGAGTAATCAGTGGTGGAAAATGAAAAAACTTTTTCTTTCTTTCTATTTTATTATTATTAAATTGGTTACTCTATAGCAGACATTTAAATGCAGATGGGAGCTGCGGGCGAGTCTTTGTGCCAGGACACTGCAAACAATAATAATAGTGCATGCACTACGCTTTTTCACAGCAACGCACAGTATTGTGGTAGCGTACTTTTCACTGCATTAGAATGGCAACGCAACGCAAATAGCGCATGGTAACACACAGGGCCGGTATTACTCTCTCTGCTGCCCCAAGGCCAGGTTCCTCTATGCGCCCCCTCCCCCCAATGGAGAATGGCAACCAAATGGCGGGGGCAGCAGGGTTAGTTTTAATAATTTTTTTACTTTTTAACATTTTTATTTATCGTATCATCTTTTACTTTTTATAATTTTTTCATCCTATTATTTTTTTTACTTTTTATAACATTTTTATCTTATTATTTTTTACTTTTTTTATCACCTTTTTACTTTTTATTTTAATTATCATTTTTTACTTATTTTGTTTTCTTAATTTTTATTTATTTTATTATTTTTTATCAATTTTTTTTATTTTTATTTACTTTATTGCTATCACATTGGAGCTCACAAGCCCCTGTGTGGTAGCATTTGGAGGTGACAGGTTCTCTTTATTGTCACCTCCATTAAGGTGCCCATACACTGTACGATTCTCGTACGAGACTCGCGGGAAATCCCGCGATCGTACGAGAATCGTGCAGTGTATGGAAGGCGTGCGACCGTTTCTGCTGTACAGTCGCACGTCTTCCGTCGAACCAGCAGGCTAGAAAACCCGCCGGGAATCGTAAGATTCTCGGCGAGTTAGTGGCCTGCTGGTTCGACAACTGCCGAACGGGCCGGTGTGCGCACGCGCACACAGCCCGTTTGCAGTCATCGTAAGCCCGCCCCTCATTACAGTCATCGGAAGCCCGCCCCTCAGGGGGGCGGGCTTGCGATGATCGCAAGTACGATCTGCCTGTCCAAGATGGGCAGATCGTACGTTTTTTAAAGTACTTTACAACCCTCGCAAGACAAAAGTCTTGCGAGGGCTGTAAAGTGTATGGGCACCTTTAGGCTGCGAGTGCAGCTCTCCCCGCTCACTGTTTACACAGAGCAGAGATGTTCTCCGCTCTGTTCCTATTTTGTTGAGGACGGACGTGCAGGCTGGGCTGTCCATTTAGCTCTGCTTGCCCAAAGCTACTCACCCGGCTCCTGGGGCATGAAGTTATAGGAATCCCTGCCACCACTCTGCTCCCTGCCACCATGATTGCGATTAACATTGCACTTAGGTATGACCGGGTCCGGGGGGAGGAATAAAAATCAGCCAAGGATAATTGCAAACATTTTGGCAAAATTGTCAGGTTAAAAGCTGAATTCTGGGCGACTGAATGGGCACCACAAGCGCACCGTGCAGCACCAGTTGTACTGAAGCTATACTTATAATGGACATACATTGGCTCATCTGACCGAAGGCATTAATTGAAGAACTACTGGAACTTTAAGAAGCTTATCCTTGCAGTGTGGCCCCCTCCAACACTGCAAAGGTTAAGTGCTCGCTTTGTCTAGGGGGCTCAAATAAATAATGTTATATTCAACCGATCCTCGACCCCACCTAGCTGCTAGACCGATCCCCAAAGCCTCTTCTACCCCAGGCTCCAGCGGTCTAAAGACCGATGACATCATAACATCAAGTGCAGGTCCATTGACTTGCATTAGACGTGAGGATGCTGAGGGACATTCCACAGCCAGCCGGGTGTCAACTGCCGCGGGAATAACTCTGGGACTTAAGAGTGTGCCCCATTGCAAAAGTAACCCCATTGCAAAAGTAAGTGTTACATTCCCGGAGTTCTTCTTTAGAGTCAAAAGGTTTTGGTTTCTTAGCCCCCCTATGTGATAGCAATAAAGTTAAGTTAAAAAAAAATAGGAAAAAAAATGAAAATTTCCCCCCAAAAAATTAAAAGTTACACATAAAAAAGAATTAAAAAAAAAATATTTTTAAAAAAGTCCCCACCCATTCATAAACACATGCAAACATGAGTCAGGTGCGCATGCCTGCGAAAACGACGATTGCGCCCATTATGCCGCACATGTTGCATATCGCCGCGAACGTTGCAGTGAGAGCAATAATTCTAGGGCCATCAATCACTAATAACACTAAACTGATGAGCTGTAAAAGCTTTTAAAGCGTCGCCTATGGTCAATTTTGAGTATGGTAGTTTTTTGCGATTTCGCGGGTGCACGCAATTTTTACGCATGACATGTTTGGTGCCTATTTACCCGACGTGATCCCGTCTTTTATATTTTACTAAAATAATTGGGTAATAATAATTGTTACCTTACATAATGTTAAAAAAACTTTTTTTTTCCCAAAATTTTCAGTAATTTTCCCGAAATATAATAAAAAATAAAAACCCGTAGTGGTATTTAAATACCACCAAAAGAAAGCTCTATCTGTCACCAGAAAATGGTATAAAATTAATTTCAGTACAGCGTTGTGTGACGGAATAAACGTCAGTCAAAGTATCGCAGCGCTGAATACTGAAAAATGGCCTGGCCAGGAAGGGGGTCTAAACACCTGGTCAGCAAGTGGTTAAAGGAGAACTATGAGGTGAGTGCTTTCCACTCACCTCAGTTCTAGCCGACCTGTGACAATGAGACTGTCACAGGTCGGCTCAGTAGATCGGGAGGTGAGCGAACACATACCGGCGTTCCCTCACCTCTCGATCCTGTCACGGCTCTCTGCCGTGACAGGGGAGGGGCTGGATTCCCCCCTCCCCACTCAGATCCGCCAGCGCTGACTGGCGGAACGGAAGGGGGAGGGGCGGGTACAGCTGGCTCTGTCTCTAGATAGGCAGAGCCAGCTGTCACTCACGCAGCTGGCCGGATCCAGACATAATTGTCGGGATCCACTTCAGCTGCGGCGTCTCAGTATACCGCGAGCTGTAGCTCGCGGTATACTGCGGTGTCTCAGCTTAGAGTGTCTCAGCTCAGCTTAGGGTGACGGGAGGACGCTAGTTTGTGTCCTCCCGTTACCCTAAGGAGAACTATGGGGAAAAGCTATAACCCAATAGTTCTGCTTTAAGCTATTGCAAATGCTGATGGAAGCACGTGCCATGGAGGCTGCTCGTGATATATATATGCAGAATTAGCTAATCCCCTGAGCACTGGTCCTGATATCCTGTTTTAGGGTGACTCCTTTCCCTCGCAGGGTCCTATGTAGCCACCCTTGTGTGTGCTAGTAACCTGTGCAGCAAAACAAATGGCAAACGCACTCAGTGGCACACTGGGAGTCTCAGCTGTCGTTGTGATGTGCGGGGTCCCTTGTGTGTGCCTGTGCCTTTAAGGAGGTTGGGCTGCCTCCTGGCGAGCCTGCACCCGATTTTATCTTTTGCTGCATGTGCTCCAAGATGGAGACTCTCATAGGTTAGAGTTAGGACCGCACTACACAAAGGGGCCTTGGCGAGGCGGTGCGGCTTTCACATATTCTGCAGAAGACGTGTATCTAAACCTCTGTTTTTAACCTTAGCGGTTAGACAGGTTTTTTTTGCATGCTGGCTGGTGAGTGTGCTGGGAAACTTTTTGCGGTTGTACTAGTATGCTGCGTGTCTCAGGCATAGCAGGGCAAGCCAATCCTCTGCTCCCCACTCCTCCCTTCTCTAAGCTAGTAGATGGATGGACGGTTGCTGGGGACTACTCTGTCCCTTGTGATCTTGTACTGGACAGGAAGTTCAGGGAAGCTGAGCTGAGAGAGTTGGAGCTGTTTGGAAACATGATGACTGTAAGTGTTAGAGCAACAATGTAAAGAAATACTTTTTGGTGGGCGATGTATATTGGATCTGGATTCATTATTGGAAATGGGAGTTTAATATTACTTTAATACAACCAAATATTTGATATAATTGTACAGAAACGTTTCCTTCTTTCTTTGTCTCTTCAGAAATACGGTTATGGTGGATGGATCCAGATGCAACAGACCAGCAAGGTTAGATCTATGTATTGAACTTGTGTTTGTCTGTTTGATTTGTCTGCTAAATAGAGCAGAGTAAACCTTTCCGGGAGAAAATGTTCCTCTCTCAGGTGGCCGGGAGCCGCTATCTAATAGCGGGAGACTCCCGGAGCGTCCGGGAGAGTTGGGATGTCTGTATACGCGAACACATTTTACTTGGCCGGCCCTTCCATGGCTCCTCCTGAAATGACAAAATGTCAACAATGAGTTTATGAATGTCATTGTATAGCTGCGCAGCTTGGTCAAGACTGTGATTGGATAGTGAAGGAACAGCAGCTCTATTGTCCCAAAAGATGCCAAGCAAGCGTGTTTTTTTCCCTCAAATGCGTGCATGTAAAGCATGTCAGCAAATAGGAGACATATACTTCTTTTCTGTGTTTGGCATGCGTCCAGGGACCCAATGGGGATTAACGGAGACATTAGCCAAACGTGGGAAACAAATTCCTGCAAATGTGCGAGAACGTGCATTCCCACAATGCGTGTCTCCATTACGACCTGGTGTGATCAGGGCCTTGAGGCTGAATGAGGCCTTCGTGTAGGCAAGAATTGTTTCACTTTAGGGGATTTGCATTTCTTTGAAGCACATTTATTTAAAAAAAAAAAAAGACTCGCAAGCTAACTTCGCAATAACAACTCAGACCGTTTACTCGCCGACAGCGCAATAAAATTCCTTTCAATATCAAATCCTCTTCTTTCACGGAAGCTCGGCCTGCCGTCACTTTAGAAGTCCCTGGAAGTGTTGTCATTAAACCGAGGTGAGAACAGGGAAAGCGTTGACGGCGCGAGGAGCTATTTTCATATTTCAGGCGGGCCGTTTGATAAGCACGTTCTGGCGGCGCTGACATTTAAGGGCCGTAACATGAGAGAAGAGGCAGAGTTAATCAAGCCCTGGAACAGAGATATCGAAGGCAAGTGGTTGCCACGGCAACCACGGTGGGCCTTTCTGTTATGTGTGAGGAAATATCCTCGCGAGGACACTTGTGCTAGTCGCGCATCAATATGCAGCCCCTTCAGTCTTGTTTGGAGACTAATGAACTGTCTTTACGGCACTCACCAACACGGACAGTTTATTCCCTTAATTAGGGCAGCTGCTTTTTTTTCCCATTTTGCTCGAACCGTGACAAACGCACTTGGCGTCTTCCTGCGGCGAATTTTAGAAATGGAATATTTCATTTCTCAGCTATAACAATCTGGGTATGGGTGAGGGAATCAATTAATCACCATTCGTAGTTTGCTCTGAGACGTTCGCTCTGAGTTCACAGAATATGAGCCTTTTGCTTTTCTGGCACACCTGACCAATTACCAGTACAGAGGGCCCCCACAAATGGCAAAGGTCATGTGACCTGGCTACCGGCGTCACCAGGATGGGTGTCACCTGGTGTGGCGGCAGGGTGCCACCCGTGCACACATCATTACATATGCATGTGACGTCATTAAGCTGGCACTTAATGATGTCACGTGCACTTTACTTGCCGGTGGCCTTCTTGGTGATGGACGCCAGCAAAGAGAGGAGGAGACTTTTACCCGGTTAGATAAGGTATGCCGCCGGGTCCCCTCCTCTCTCGTGCAGCAGTCGGACTTTTGGTCCATGACCGAGTGCCCGACATTTCAAAGGGGGTGACACCAAAAAAATGACAGTGAGTCATTTTGGTGTTACACCCTCTGATGCTGTCACCTGGTGTGGGTTGCATCCCCCTTGTGACGCCACTGCAGAGCATAGGACAAGGGTGGGCAACTCTGGCCCTCCAGCCGTGCTTTAACTACAAATCCCAAAATGCCCATGCATCTGGGAGTCATGCCTGTAACTGTCAGTCTTGCAATGACTCATGGGATTTGTAGTTCCACAACAGCTAAAGGGCCAGAGTTGCCCACCCCTGAGATAGGGACTCACGTCCCATAACCTGCTCTGCCGCTAAATGTGGAATCTCCTTCAGATTCATTTTAGGATTGGGTAGTCAAACTTCAGCCCTCCAGCTGTTGTAGAGCTATAAGGCATTGCATGCCTTACAGTTCTACAACAGTCCCATAAGGCACTGCAAGACTGAAAGGCACAGGCATGACTCCCACAAGCAGGATGCAAGACTGAATTTGTAGTTTCAGTGTATCTGGAGGGCTGTAGTTTGGCTAACCCTGATATAGGAGGTTAGGTGGCAATTTAGAGCAGGGGTAGCCACACATTCTCATAGGGGGTGAACAGCAGTGAGGGAATAGCCGAATTCCGCATTCGGCTCGTCTACTGAGCAGAATAGCAAATCAATGAAAAGAGTTTTAAAAAAAAGATGAGAGAATATTTTTGAAAATTTAAATAAATATTACATTTAAAAAAATAAAGATTTTTGAAAAAATAAAAAATAAATAAGTACAAAAAAATTATTGGGCGGAGCTAGCAATGACAACTAGCTCCGCCCAACTGTTTCCTATTGGCCGGCAGCTGCTAGAGTCCTCTAGCAGGTGCCGGCCAATGAATAACAGCTCAGCGGAGCCGGCCGTTACGTCACACCGCCCAGTTGTTATTGTTTAATGACAGATCAGCATCCCCAGGTCATTTGGGGACGCTGATCTGACACTTCAACTGGGCGGAGCCAGCCATGAGATCACGACTGGCTCCGCCCAGTTGTCATTTGCAGGGCGAAAGGCCGGCCCTCGGCAGGCTGTTCGTCCCGCTTCTGGTGTCACTTCGGCTCAGTCGAGCCGAAGCATATGCCTTCGGCTCGGCTGAGCCACTCTGCCACCTTCGGCTGCTGTACGGGCTATAGTGAATACCCCGTACAGCAGCCCTTCTGTCCGACTGAACAGAAGGGCTCCGGCGGCCAAAGACAGCCCCAGGATCAGCCGAAGCTACAGCTGGATTCTTTGGCTCCTACGTGAATAACCTCTTTGTGTTTCTAAATTGGCCGGATGGAAGAGATTTCTCTCCACTTCCAGATGTATCATGGATTTTCCCTTCATCTTTTTTCATTGAATATTGCAGTAAATCTAGGTCAGAGAGCTCTATATATAGACCCGGCGCTTCACTTTGATTGCGCCCTGTTAAAATGCCGAGCTTTTTTCGGCTTCGTGGCCGGGTCTGCGGCCTCTTGACCTCAGCTGAATGCCTGGCGCATTCTACCATCTAAACTGAATACACTGCAGTCTCTCTGCCTGATTAAACTTTCATCTCAGACACAGAGCCATCAATCAAGGTTATAATAGCAGCAGCAGTATATACCTGAAACTGGGAGAAAGAAAATACTGGGGATTATTTAAAGGGTAACTCCAACCATACACATATAGGAAGACTTTTACTTTCAAAAACAAAGCAGAACATAAGGGGGGGTGACAACACTTTTGCCATCCTGCAAAGCTGCAGATTTTGTGTCACTGCCTCGACTGTACCACCTTACTGTGATAGAGGGGAAAGAAAAATTGAAGGACATCTGTATTGAAAGAAGTATCTGCACTGTCATTGCTGACCTTCTAAAAAATGCTAGCTGTCTGGCTGCCCTGATAGTCCTGTAGCTTTAATGCTTTCTAAAACACAAACAGTATGTAGTTAAGGGATGTGCGGTGAGGTCCGTGGCAGGTGAGGCACCCCCTCACCCCCAGGCCTCGTCACCGATGTGTGGAGGCGGAAGGGAGGAGACAGGAAAAAGCCTCCCTTTCCCTCACTAGCTCATCACTGATGAGGCATCTAAATGGATGCCGTCAGTGTTTTTTTGTTTCTTTTTAATTGAACGGTTTAGACCAATGGTACTTTGCCATTGGTCCAAAGCATCCACAGCGCTCAAGCCTTTGACTCCAAGTCAGAGGCTGTTGTAGCTCTAGCCTTTCTGTGTTAGGTTACACACAGCAGCGGGGAAGCTCTATAACCTAACATAGCTGCCAAAAGCCAGATGAAGTGGCGCCTTTGATGAGTAGGCTGTGCTCTGTCCATAACAGGTTACACAGCGGGGAGGCTTTCCCCGCTGTGTAACCTGTTAGAAGCCGGTCTGAATGGAGAATAAAAACTTCACCCTTGTGCAGGAACTTCCTGTTATGGGGTGACAACCGTCCCCAAATTTTGCTCCTGCTGGCACACATTGCACAGGCATGGTCCACAGTTGTCACTTTAAGGAATCTGGTCCAGAGCAAATGTTGAAGCTGGTGCCTATAGACATTAAGTGGCAGTCAGTGGCTAGAGGAGATCAGCAGCACTGGCATGTAATAATGCAGGGTTAAGTAACCTTGGCACTCCAGCTGGGGTGGTACTACAAATACCATCTTGCTTCTGCTGGTGGGAGTCATGCCTGTGGCTGTCAGAGCCTTGCAGTGCATCACGGGACTTGTAGTTCCACATCAGCTGCAGTGCCGTGACAGCATAGCCCATTTAGCCCACCACGAGAGCCCGCACAACCCACCAGGCCACGTGGAGACATCAGTGCGTCAACACAGAACAACACAGAGTATGTAGCTTCATATTATTTTGTATTGCTGTATAATGTATTGCTGGTATTTGTAGTCCTCTCTAGCTGGTCTCATAAATCCCTCCCTCCCCTGGCTGCCTCTCCTCTATATTAAAAAAAAAAAAAATTGCCGCGTGCGGCGCTAGAGTGTTCGGGTTTCACTTGAAGAAAAGGTGGCAACCCTAGCTGAGGTTGCCTACCCATGTAATAATGAATGAAAAAAGGGTAAAAAACTGTATTTTTCTAATATTAATATAATTATCATTTTATAATTTATCATTTTGGAAGCTAAATGGTACTGCAGAGGAAAGAGGAAAAGATGGATTTTAGTCCTAAAGAGGAAAGAGGACCTGTCACTCCAAAATGTTATATAATAATTGCTCTAGAAAGAGAATATAATACAGGTGAAACTCGAATAATTAGAATATCGTGCAAAGTTCATTTATTTCACTAATGCAACTTAAAAGGTGAAACTAATATATGAGATAGACTCATTACATGCAAAGCAAGATAATTCAAGCCGTGATTTGTCATAATTGTGATGATTATGGCTTACATCTCATGAAAACCCCAAGAACCCCAAATCCACAACCTCAAAAAAGTAGATTATTACATGCAATCAATAAAACAAGGATTGTACATAGAACAATATCGGACCTCGGAAAAGTACAAGCATGCATACAGTATGTACTCAGTACTTGGTTTGGGCCCCTTTTGCAGCACTTACTGCAATTACTTTTGCATGATATTCTAATTATTCGAGTTTCACCTGTATATAATATGAATATATAACTGTTGGTGCTAAAAAATAAACTTGCGTTATAACAATTATAATAATAATAATAATCGTGCTATTGAATTTCCTCTCCAAAGCTATTCAAACTCCTTTTCCTAAAGATAGGTCATACTTTCCTTTTTTTTTCCGGGAAATTTGTAAACATGGGGAGCACAGAGAAAGCTTTCTTCCTATACTTTCCTTGGGTGGGTGTTCCTACTCTACAACCCATCAGGGCTCAGAAAACACCTCAGCTCTCACAACTTGTGAAAAGCAGAAGCTGCAATAAGTGTATGTAATCTGATTTCCTGCTGCTGGTCGTGTGCTTTGAATGCGCCCCCATCAAATATTTATATATGGACTTCTGTTCATGGATCACAGCCTCAGGAAAACTCTGCTGTCAATCAACATTCCCAAAGGAAAGGCCACGGAATGGTACCCATGACAGCCATGTATTAGAAGACTGCACTTCACATGTTAATTATCAGAGAGCAATAAATGTGTCTTTGGTCTATTTCTTCATGATTTGTTGCCAAGCACTCTAGTCCCTGCAATTTACTTTGACAAACCAAAAACAGGGCAAGCAGTTAGAATTTATTTTGCACTAACCTAACTTCAATACACAGGAAGGTGTTTAGAGGTTTGGATTGCTAAATCATCATCATTGATCTTTCCATAGGTTAGTCACCATTTTCATTTTTTCTCCTTTTTTTTAGGATGAGGCGAGAATGATGAAGGATGGAAATGTTTTCCGGGTGGTTCAATCCAACTGCTGGAATCCTGAAGTTAGATTAAAAGAGATGGATGAGTCAGGTAACGTAGAAATATTCGTCAGTACCTTCTGCAACTGGCCAACAACATGTTAGACTCAATAATATAAACAAATTGATACTAAGCACAGCTTCTTGACCTGATGAAAGAGATTTCTCTTCTCATGAAAAACTTCTTCATCCTAGCAATAATTTTGTTTACTCTGCCTGTGGTGCATCGTACCCACTCAGACCCTGTTGAGTGGCCGAAGAGTGGCACCAAGTGCCAGGATAATGCAACTATGTTGCACATTTATAGAAGTTGCAACAACACTGGCCACCCAACAGAGCTGTAACTTCAGATCAACGGGCCCCATAGCAAAAATGTAATGGGGCCCCCTGATGACCTCTCTTTCAGCTGTGAGTAACAATGCCAAAGACTTCTCTTGTGCATCTGAAGGTATCTCTACACTGTAGACTTTGCAAGGCATTAGAGTTGTTGTCATCTACAACCACTTCAACCCTTAATGATACAGCACTGTATTATCTTCACATGTTCTATGTTTCATTTGCCTCAACAACCTAATGGGGGCCCCCATCCATCCCTGGGCCCCATAGCAGTTGCATGGGCTGCTATGGCTATAGTTACGCCACTGCCACCCAATAAGCGTATAAGACCCCTTTCACATGCGCTGATCAGGAGGGAATCCGTGCATGGATTCCCTCCTGATTGATCAGAGTAGTACGGATCGGATGTCACCATTGTCACACCGTCACATAGACTAGCATTGGGTTCTGCTTGAAAAACTGACAGGTGGACACGGTCGGACCAACTATGTGAAAAGGGCCTAAGTAAGATGCCGGATGTGGGTGGAAGGATCGTTGGGGAGGGTGGCAGAGACAGCAGCCAAGCGATGACAGAGCATGCAGACCTGTAATCACTGAAACACAACAAACTTTTATTTAATTTTGCTCTAACATGCAAGTACTGTACGTTGTGCTCATTATTTCAAGGGCCACCAGTGGAATTAGACCTCAGTTTTTACAAAACACAGTAGTAATAAAGCAACCGGTAGGGGACCAGTCAACTGACACACCTGTTAGTGTCAGATATAAATTCTTTGGATGTCGTAGATCTTCAAGAGAGTGAAGATTGGACTTACTACACACCAGACTGGTAAGTATTCATCTTCTTTTTGCAGGATGCATTAAAGAAAAAAAACACAAAAACTGAAAGTCTGAGCCCAACGTACAGGAAGTGGGTGAGATAGTGCTGGCCATCATTCAACCCAGAAGAAGACCGGTTCAGGATTGCAAAGAGGGGGGTCTGTAGAGGACAGTGCTTGAAAGCAAGGGGGAATTGCTTCAGGAGCAACTTACTTTATTTGCATACCTGCTGCCCATGTTGTGTTTCAATTTTTTACATATTTATTTGTAAAAGAAAGATAGAAACAATCGATAGGAATAAAAAAGAATAGGATTGTTTTAAAAACATATAAACAAATGTAAAAGTTTAAGTGAAATACACAATCATGCACACACATCTGTTAGCACAGCCCTCCATTCAATAGGAAAATATTTATAACCATACAAAGAATACTATGAACAAATTATCTTATTATAGTTAAAGGAGAACTATGAGGTGAGTGCCTTTCACTCACCTCATAGTTCTAGCCGACCTGTGACAATGAGACTGTCACAGGTCGGCTCAGTAGATTGGGAAGTGAGCGAACACATACCGGCGTTCGCTCACTTCTCGATCCTGTCGCGGCAGAGAGCCGTGACAGGGGAGGGACTGGATTCCCCCCTCCCCGCTCTAACCCGCCAGCGCTGACTGGTGGAACGGATGGGGAAGGGGGCGGGTACAACTGGCTCTGCCTCTAGATAGGCAGAGCCAGCTGTCACTTACGCAGCTGGGCGGATCCAGACATAATTGTTGGGATCCGTTTCAGCTCGTGGTATACTGAGCCTAGGGTGACGGGAGGACGCTAGTTTGTGTCCTCCCGTTACCCTTCAGAGAACTATGGGGAAAAGCCTTAACCCCATAGTTCTCCTTTAAGGTCCTGGGCGGGTTCATACTGTTTCGAAAGTATATAGTATCTGTGCTTTCAGATTTTATTCATGTATTGTATTTTCATTTCATTTTTTGTTATAGTTTGGTTTTTAATGCAAATCAATAAAATTAATCATTATGTATTTCATTGTCAGTATATCTTTTTTATGAATACCAATTTAAAACGCCCCATAATAACATAGCCCCTGGATATTTGTGCTCAGGTGGTCTTCTGCTTCTTTTATTCATATATTTAGGGGTGTGATACTCAGAGGCCACACACTTGGCACTTACTTTTTCAAAAATAAAAAAGGACAAATACTTTCTCCCATACAGGCGTAACAGTGCAGGTGCTCTCTACGGTGCCAGTAATGTTCAGTTATTGGGTATGTATAATTATACTTTAATATCTTAAAGTTCAACTTTATGAAGTATCAAATGTGGTGACTCAAATAGGTGACAGAATTGCATTTTTTTGGGGGGGGTCGCAAGGGGTCATGCCTAAGTGCCAGCTTTCTAGAAATGCCGGATTTCCTCAGAGGTTCAGAGGGCCCCAGGGGAGCAGAGCCTCAGTATTTGAAGATGATATAGTTTCATGCTGATGTTGGTTTCAAATGTTCAGCTTAGCTTTAGTAGGTTCATAATTGCAAGAGGATAATTAGAAAAGATAGATGAAAATGTTTGCAAAGCCAAAATGTTTTTTACGTTTTGGATAGAATGATGAAAGGGTAGAACACTGTTGGGCTTTAACTGTTATCCAGCGCTCAGAGAGATTTCCCCACATTTCCTAACCAGCTGACAATGGATTCACCAGACAAGAAGTGGGGGTAGATTTCCAACAGCAACATAGACAGAAATAATATTTTTAGCATCATAGGGTAAGGCTAGAACCCCTGTAAGCTTTGTATTGCTGTCTGCGTCCCTGTAGCAGATTCCATGTTACTTCTGCTCTGGAGAAACCATTGTTACCAGGACAGAAGACTAAGAGGGGAGACAGATGAGCATTGCATGGTATTGTAACCTTATCTTTTGACGCGAGTTCTCTCGACACAGGCCAAGCCCCAGGACACCCTGGATCTGTCCCAGTTCCTCAATGATGACTTGGCAGCTGTGGTTCGGAAGTATCCAAAGAGATTTGTAGGGCTAGGGACACTCCCTATGCAGAGTCCAGAACTGGCAGTACAGGAGATGCACCGCTGTGTGAAAGAACTGGGATTCCCTGGGGTACAGATTGGATCCCATATCAATCAGTGGGACCTGAATTCGCCTGAACTGTATCCCATTTATGCGGTACGTACATCCTGGGAAACCTATCCATTTTTTGGACAACTACATAAGGGCAAGCATCACTCATATACATATACATGTGTCGCCTTCACAAGGAAGACCTCAACCTTAGCTCATAGCCGGGGCTCTGGGATGACAATATACAAATGCAAGCTCCTCCTTATTGGCCCCTAAATGTTTTGGTGTGAACACGACTTGAGGTATCTCCTAAATGTAAATAAAAAAATACTGCAGCCATGCAAAGAGGGGTAGATTGCAGTAAGCTTGTTTTATTAAATCGCCTATTACATCACAGCCATCCCCTTTTGTGTTCATAAACATCAGCTGAATATCAGTTTTAGTATTACGTCTGTGTGACCTAAACTCTTCCCAAAGTGTACTATAGAATATCCGAACTTCAAGAGCTGGTAAAGCCTAACTCAAGGCAAGCAACTGTCTACAGAGTTGGAATGCATAAATGGGACCTGGTTTATCTGCCATAGGATTCCTAATTATTTTCAGGCAATCAAGCGATCCAGGTACCCCACCAGACAGCAGAGGTAGGTCCTTGACCTCTCTTGCAGCAGCACAACCACTGAGTCAAGAACACACCCCCAGCTTGTTGATTTGTCAATGAAGGAGCAATAGAACCTCGATGAGGTCATCCCTCTGTTCTCTCTTCTTGTTATGTTTACTTTTCAGCACATGTTCACTACAGTAGCATCTCACTGGCTCCAAGGCTAATATTAAGACAGATTTGGGTACTTACAGTAAATGAGTTGCATTTAATAGTAAGTGTAATGCTTTTTAAAGAATACCTAACCCCATTAATTGGAGGTTTTTTTTGTAACTGGTAAAAGTTTAGCTCCAAAGTGTGGGTTCACCATAAGGTCATAATATTTGAATTACAGGGGGAGTCTGATAAGAGAAGTCACTTGGGGTCTTCAGAGGTGGGATTTCCTGACTCCCTGACATGGATTCTGGTATTCATTTTGCCCACGTTGAAGCTCCGGTGTTACGGCCATTGAGTGACTGATTTACTAAAGGAATCATTTATAAGTGGGTCAGTAGTGTTAGTGCTCTGGGTGTTACTGACCACGTTGAAATGTTTAGGTGTTCCGTCCACCTTGAGGTCTTTCCAACTCCACTTTTGTCAACTGTTCTCCAGAAAAAAAAATACATTAAAATTCCCTGAGGAACAGTAGAATGTATTTCTAACAAAATTGGGTTTCTCTGTGTAATGGACATCCTTCTATCTGCTTCTGATATGTAACTGCAAGGAGTGGAACTCCCTCGTACAGAGCCCTCATAGACAGCAATTAAACCCTCTTCCTGAAGAGTCTAAAAATTATTTGGCCTATAGAATTGATTCCCATTTTGGGCTATCTATAAGAGATTAATCCAGAAGGTGGGTCTGCGGGCAAAATTTGGATTTACCGTTCCCAGTACAAGGTGCTTACTCCCCTCGATCTGCTGCTAGAAGTCAAAGCAAACAAGGATTTTCTTAAATTATGGATCCCACCGTCCACTTTTAAACAGCCATACACACAACAATGACTTTTTCTACATCAAGTGCCATTGAGTGTTTTACACCTAACATTTTAGCAATCTCCTGTAGATAGCCCTGGTGGAAAACAACCGTACAGAATGTGCTGACCCAGCTAAAGACAATGCAATGACATGTGTCTGTAAACATTCTTTCAGGCGGCTGAAGAATTAAACTGCTCCATATTTGTGCACCCTTGGGACATGTCCCTGGATGGGAGGATGGCAAAGTACTGGCTTCCATGGCTGGTAGGTTAGTAATGGCATTTCTTGGGTTGTTGGGTTCAGGGATTATTCAAACATCAAGTGACTGATTTACTAAAGGAATCATTTCTAAGAAAGCCAGCAGTGACAATTACTCCACAGTCCAGGGGCACAGCCTAGAATGGCATGTCACCCCTTGCATAGAAGTCTCTGTAGGTGGAGAGAGGCAATCATAAAATGTAAGATTTGTTAGTAGTTCAGACATTCAATTCCAGAAGTATGGAAGGAAAAGGCACAGGGTGGTTTGCAATGCTTTCGACACTCATGGCATTCAGGGCATGCAGAGCAGTTACAGAACGCATCAACAATGCATCCAATGTTTTCCAACTGCATTTTGGGCTGCAGCATGCCTTATTTTTTCTGCTCTGGAACGCATCAGAAACACATGCAAACACCCTGGAACGCACTGAAAGCCCATTTTAGGCTTAAAAAAAGAAACGCCCCAGAACATGTAAAAAAAGCGGCAGAAACACGGCAAAACACACTGCACTGCATGTGCAGAAACTCGTGCAGATGTGGTCCAGATTTGGTGTGAACGAGCCCTCAGGCCTCACCGCACATATGCTTAGAAGCAGATTTTAGCAGATCAAAACACGTCCTCATAAAAGCACTCTATGCTGCCTCCCTGGTAATGGCCAGACCTCATCCAAGCCTGAGCAGCCAAGCTCACAAGACATCGGGACCTAATGTATGCAATCCATGGGCTGTGGAGCCATTAGAGTGAAACAGGATTTTTTGGCATGGTTGCCAGGAAGTCCATTTGGCCAGTTTTCTCCTCCCTGTGTTATCACTTGTTCATGTCTAGGAAATTTGAATGCACACTTATTTATTTTTAGCGCTGAGTATTAAGTTGGTGCTTTATAAAGATAAATAAGATATTGTAATAATACAGATAGTTTTGAATTATCTTTAAAGTGACACTAAACGCAGCAATTAAATCCTAAATATACATCCAAGTACCCTAACTATTAACAACAATGTATCTTATTTGTGTATTACTCGGCTGTAGATCCCCAAAACATCTCTGAATTGGTGCTGACACTGTCCTTCCTTCTGGAGGGTGGCTACTTTTGTTCCCCATGGTCCCTGTGTGTGTTGTAAAGTAGTCACCTCTCCAAGCTCGCTCCTGTGATGGACTACAATCTCATGTTTAGTTTACCAATTTACAATGCATCCAATGTTTTCCAACTGCATTTTGGGCTGCAGCATGCCTTATTTTTTCTGCTCTGGAACGCATCAGAAACACATGCAAACACCCTGGAACGCACTGAAAGCCCATTTTAGGCTTAAAAAAAGAAACGCCCCAGAACATGTAAAAAAAGCGGCAGAAACACGGCAAAACACACTGCACTGCATGTGCAGAAACTCGTGCAGATGTGGTCCAGATTTGGTGTGAACGAGCCCTCAGGCCTCACCGCACATATGCTTAGAAGCAGATTTTAGCAGATCAAAACACGTCCTCATAAAAGCACTCTATGCTGCCTCCCTGGTAATGGCCAGACCTCATCCAAGCCTGAGCAGCCAAGCTCACAAGACATCGGGACCTAATGTATGCAATCCATGGGCTGTGGAGCCATTAGAGTGAAACAGGATTTTTTGGCATGGTTGCCAGGAAGTCCATTTGGCCAGTTTTCTCCTCCCTGTGTTATCACTTGTTCATGTCTAGGAAATTTGAATGCACACTTATTTATTTTTAGCGCTGAGTATTAAGTTGGTGCTTTATAAAGATAAATAAGATATTGTAATAATACAGATAGTTTTGAATTATCTTTAAAGTGACACTAAACGCAGCAATTAAATCCTAAATATACATCCAAGTACCCTAACTATTAACAACAATGTATCTTATTTGTGTATTACTCGGCTGTAGATCCCCAAAACATCTCTGAATTGGTGCTGACACTGTCCTTCCTTCTGGAGGGTGGCTACTTTTGTTCCCCATGGTCCCTGTGTGTGTTGTAAAGTAGTCACCTCTCCAAGCTCGCTCCTGTGATGGACTACAATCTCATGTTTAGTTTACCAATTTGTATTGAGATTGTAGTCCATCACAGGAGCGAGCTTGAAGCTGCGACTACTTTACACCACACACAGGAACCATGGGCTCCAAGCTTGCTCCCTGTCCAGTTCACATTTGTGAACTACAGAACACCCACCCCTATGTTATGGAAATGATGAGAGGGGGATGTGTTCTTAAATCCAAATCCGGAGCCAGCAGCCCAGGGTGACATAGCTGTTCTTACATTGATACAGTGACTGAGTGTTGTCATCTTAGGACAGAAATTGTGTTACTGGCAGGATCACCAAGTGAAAACGAAGGAAAAATAAGTCTAATACAACCACCACATCTAAGGACTGGCAAGCTGCAATATATTACATTGTTGTTCTGGGGGTTTAGATAGACAGCAGCAATAAGATGGGCATGGAAGTGATAAATATAAACTCATATTACTGTTTTTTTAGGCATGCCAGCGGAAACAACCACCGCCATTTGCAATATGATTATGGGTGGAATATTCGAGAAGTTCTCCAAACTTAAAGTTTGCTTTGCTCATGGAGGTACGAGGTTTATTCCTTTTGTGTATGGTTCGAAATGTACAATGGTTGTGTATAATCCTTGTCTTTCTGAGCTTAGGCAATTAGGTGATCTCTGAGGGCATGTTGGAGGATCTCTGTATGATTTAGAAGAACTGACAATTAACCCTTACAAGGCCTCTTACCATGATCTGTCATATAGACTGAAAATATCAAACTGCTTATGGCCATCCTCTGACCTGCTCTCGTGGCCACCTTGTTCTATTGCAACTGTCAACTAGGTTTTGTCTATAGTTCAGGAAAATTAGTCTACGACCAGTTTACTCTGAAACGTTCTGTTATATTTTTGGATTACCACGGGCAAATTAGAGCTGGTGGAAGTCGCGCCCGCCCCCCCTCTCCCAACAGGGAGAATGTGGAAACTCCATGCAACCAACTTCATAGTGGGAATAACCTCCTAGGAGGACCTCAAGGCTACAGCGCCAATTGATTGGCCACCCACTATGGCGGTGTAAAGCTTGACAGGTGGACCTGACCAAAGCCCCCTTCCCAAAAAATGGCTGGTCTAAACATGTACACTGCTCCAAACAGGCAATAGCTTGTATTGGCTAGTATTGCCCTCGGCCTATCCCAATGGGAAAATGGTTCAACTGAGACTGGAACGCTACCAAATAACTTTTGCTCTTCTGCATGAATCCAATGTAAATGCTACCTAAGGCTGACCTAACACATATGAGCACTTTTAAGGGATTTATGACAATAAAAAAGGGCCATGTAAACACAGGTGAAGGATATATTTTCATATTCTTGATAGCCAATATGTTCTTCTTGTTCTATAAATGTATCATAATTGCTTTATTATTATAGGTGGAGCCTTTCCCTTCACTGTTGGTCGCGTTAACCATGGATTTAATGTGCGTCCTGATCTCTGTGCTGTTGATAATAAGGAACCTCCTCAAAACTACCTTGGATCGTTCTATACGGACTCCCTGGTACATGACCCCAGAGCCTTACAACTCCTGATAGATGTGATTGGAAAGGTGAGTTGTTGTGTCACTAAGATGCAATGGGTGTGATTTACTTAAAGCTCATACTAGCTTGCAATGTTCCTTTACCAACAAAATGATGCCTGCTTGCTTGTGCATCCCTTCCTTTGCAGTTACATGCTTGATGCTTGGTAACAACAGCCAAGGCCAACCCTATAATAAGGCAGCCTGAGGCGGTTGCATCAGATGGTATCTCAGTGGATCACATGGGGGGGTCAGGTGTGAAGGGCATGGCCAGAGCATCCCAAGTTGCTGGGATGCTCTGGCCTGCTTCCGGTCCAGCTCACTGATATCACTGGTTGCCAGAAGCTGAGAAGGACGCTCTGGCTGACGTCGCGCCCAGCTCCTGGCAACCAGTGATATCAGTGAGCAGGGTGGAACGCAGGGCAGAGCAGCTGGACCCAGAGGTAGCATCAGCACCCTGCCAACGCCTTCCCCCAGGTAACGAATATGCACCGCCAGCACAACAACCCCTCTCCGTGTAAAGGTATCCACCGCCGACAATCAGCAAGCCAACCACCTCAAGGCAGGTGGCGAATAGTGTAGGGACAGCCTTGACCACAGCCCTGTTCAATGGACAAACTTTGACATGTAGGTTGCTATGAGTGATCAGTTAAGCTGAACTCCATGCAAACAGTTAAATACACATTATAACAAGAAGGTGAGGGGATAGAGAAGTGCTAGCAGCCTAGTGTGAATACGTAGGGAAGTGATTAAGGATTGGAAATGTAATACTCACGTCTGGGTGAGTTAGTGGAGGCTTTGGAGGGACGATTCCAGGAAAGTGATGCTGTGTGTCAGCACTTCCGATCGGACATCAGAGGTGTCAGCGTATTGACCAAAAAAATAAATGAATGGGCAGGTGAGTAAATTCAATGCGGATAATGGACAGGTGTGAATTGGGCCCAATCCTTCCCCCCAAACCCACAGTAATTTTCAAAAAAGCCAGAAGCGTGAAAAACATAATAGCCCCCAGCAAATTGTCCGTCACAAAACACAAACCCACACAGACTTTTTTGTTTGACAACAGAACAGGGGTCTACAAATGTAAAAAAACTAAGTGTCTCACCTGCTAATTTATCACTCATGGCCAACCCTCATTCCAGGACAGCTCTGGCAATACATTCCCAATAACACAATTCATCACCTGCGACCACAATCAAGTAGTCTACGGCCTTAAATGCCCCTGTGGCCTACTATACATAGGCCGCACCATCCGGCCACTCCGCAAACGTATTGGTGAACACTGCTCTGCCTCTAGATAGGCAGAGCCAGCTGTCACTCACGCAGCTGGGCGGATCCAGACATAATTGTCGGGGATCCGCTTCAGCTGCGACGTCTCAGTATACCGCGAGCTGTAGCTCGCGGTATCCTGAGCTTAGGGTGACGGAAGGACGCTAGTTTGTGTCCTCCTGTTACCCTAAGGAGAACTATGGGGAAAAGCCTTAACCCCATAGTTCTCCTTTAATCACTTCCCTACGTATTCACACTAGGTTGCTAGCGCTTCTCTATCCCCTTCTTATCTTAACACAAATGTCGGACACCCCGGTCCGCACTTTTTGAGAAGTAGTACACCTTGTGCCCTCCAAATAAACCCCTTCCAGCACTTCGGAGAGCGCTCATTCCCTGGACTTTTTCTCTAAATACACATTATAATTACATTTATCGGAGCAGATTTACCTCCCAAAGAATTTGCATTTTTGCCACCTTAGTCCTGTGAAAGCCTTGCCAGCCAGCACAGCGAGGCTTATGACCTGACTTTTCTGTCCTGCAGATGAGCAGTATAGCTTGGTCGCCTCCCCACCCCCAGCCTGTGATTGGACAAGGAGTAGGAGCAGGCAAATGAGGAAATCTCTTCCTTCTATCAGCATGTTCCCTGTCAGTACATGAACCACGTGTAGCCTGAAGCATGAGCTGTCCCTCCCTGTGTGAATGCTGCTGTACAAGGCGGTACAAAGGGATGCCACCAAGTCAAATTTAGGTATATACACTATTCGCATTTAAAAATACATCTAATGATTTTTAACAATTACATAACTAAATAATTTGTGTTTTATATCTGCCTGGAGTTCAGCTTTTACAGTCACATATCCTGCACTACAACTCCCATCGGTGACTCTGCATTGAGTTTTGTATGTTCTTCCCATGGTTGTGTGGTCTTCCTCCAGAAGCTCTGGTTTATCTCCTACCATCCAAAAACTCTGAGTTTCCTCTAAACCTGACCATAGTGGGTGCATGCTTGTATGGATGTAGTAAGGATATTAGACTATAAATAGAGACTAATGCGGGTGGTTCACGTAGATTGTAAAGACCAGCAGAAATGGCTGGCCTATGTTATTAAAATAAACGATAAACCTGACCTCTTGTGAAAGCTAGGTGCTGACTTAATTGAGGAATGTCTAAAATAAAATGTGGTAAATACTGCCCCCTGGAGGGCCATGCATAGCTGGCTGGTTCACATTTAGTGGTATAGTTTGGAAACTGGAGGAAGAACCTCAAACATCCTTTAGGGCAGTGCTCCCCAACCTTTTTATCGCCTTGGACCGGTCAACCTCAGCGCTCGGACTTACCCAACCAGGGAGTTGTGTGCACTCACTGCAGGGGGCGGGGCTTGTGACACACACGTCTCCTGTGACTCACCTCCCCTCCTGCCGCCTGTTACTATGGACGCGGCCGGGAGGGCAGGTGAGTCACAGGACCCGCCCCCTCACTGTGAAGTCCGTCAGCAGTGCGGGGCCCCGTGGCCCGGTACCATTTGATCCACGGACCAGTACCGGTCCGCGGCCCGGGGGTCGGGGACCGCTGCCTTAGGGCATTGGCGTCAGAACGGGGGTCCGGCCAGCACCCAGGTTACACCATTGGAGGGGTGACAACAAAATGAATGACAGTCATCTTGGTGTCACCCCCGCTGAAAAGTCGGGCACTCGGTCATGGACCGGGAGCCCGACAGTTGCAGGAGAGATGAGGGGACCCAAAGGCATAGCTTATCCCGCCGGGTGAACGTTCCCTCCTCTATCTGACGGCCTCCTTCACCAAGATGGCCACCGGCAGGTATCAGCAAGATGGCCACGTCATCAGGCACTCTCATGGTGACGTCACACACATGCGCGATGACGTCATGGCAGGGTCCACCCGGCCCACTCTGGGTGACACCCGGCCTCGGGATGCCCCTGTCTAGGGACAGTAAAACCTGTGAACTTAGTAGCAGGTCTGCCCTAATAATAGTGCAGTAACATATAATGTTAAATTAAAAGTGTAATGGGTATATTTTCTTTTCAGGCTTTTGTTTCCTTATTTTCACCTGTTGATCCTGCCTGGCACACAATACCTCTCCTCGGGTGACAACGCTCAGTCACTGCACTGTTTCTATGGAGGAGAAACATTATCACCCTAGGCTGCTCTCCTGATTAGGACTACAAACCCCTCCACTCATCTTCGTTACATAGAACGTGCTGCTTTGCAGATCACAGCAGATAGATAGGAAAGCTGATAATATTGTTTTAGATTTTGGTTTAGTGCACAGAAAGTTACAAGGACACTGGATTTCTGGCAGGATCAACAGGTATTTTCTGATGTGTGCGGAAAACGTACATAATCTGAAAAAAGAAAAACAATGCTGCCACCAAATCTAAAGACCGGTAAGCTGCAACATATTACATTTTTGTCTTTGGGTTTAGATTAGACATGTGCGATTCGTTTCGTTCCGAATCGAAATTCGGACGAATTTTCGTAAATTCGGACATTCGGATGTATCCGAATTCCGAATTACAGACATAACGAATGCAAACGAATCCGAATTTCCATTTCCGAAACGAACGTTCGCACGAACGTTCGTTTCGTTTTCTGTTCATTTCGTTTCTTATTCGTTTCGTTCGTTGGAGCAAAGTGACATTAGAGAAGGAGAAAAATATTTTTTCCCCCTCAAATGTCACTTTTGCTGCAAACGAACGAAACGAATAAGAAACGAATAAGAACAGAAAACGAAACGAACGTTCGTGCGAACGCTACCGAATTTCGTCCGAATCCGAATTCCGAATCCGAATTGACTTTCACACCCGAATCCCGAAAAACGAAATAACACAAATCCGAATTTAAAACGAAACGAAACAAATTTTTTGGCAGTGCACATGTCTAGTTTAGATATATTTTAATGGCAGGTAGAGGCCACCACATGGTGTTCTTGACCTCGCCACCAGAGCACCCCTCGTCCCCTCCACAAAAATATCCCAACATCCACTGCGGTGCTCAGTGTCAACAATGCCTATGCAAACACGGTCCTTTAGAATGCTAGTATTTACTTCAGGAGCCTCAAGCAGCTCTGGTAATAGGTTTTCATAATGGGGAAGACATAACCTGGAACCTTATAGCCAACTATCTGCCAATTACCCTGTTTCCCCTAAAATAAGACCTACCTCGAAAGTAAGACCTAGCACTATTTTTCAAGATTCCTGTAATATAAGACCTACCCCGAAAATAAGACCTAGTATGGTGGTAGCATGTGAGGGGAAACTTGAAGAGCAGGAGTGATAGTATCAGCCTGCAGGGACATACTGTATTAAGGGGATGACAGGGGACTCCCTCCGGTCAGCGCAGTGATAGGGAGCACTCCAGTACCAAACTTCACCAACTACTGTCCCCGAAGGCACTGCTTAATGTAATGGTACTGTACTGTAATGTGTACCGGTAAATGGTACCGTACTTTACCGCGCTGTCCACTGTCTGATGTCCCCACTGCTGCACCGCTGGTACCACTGCCCCTGATGGCAAAGGAAGCCGGCGCTGTAGAAAGCAAGGCTGCGGCGGCAGATCGAGCAGAGCCGCATTAGCTGATACTTCCTCTATAGCGCTGGTTACTGTGACAGGCGGAGTTATACCAGATAACTTTGGATTGTTGTACATTTTGTTGCACATTAAAAAATAAAAATAAGACATCCCCTGAAAATAAGACCTAGTGTGTTTTTGGGGGGCAAAAAAAATATAAGACAGTGTCTTATTTTCGGGGAAACACGGTACCATAGTTTATGGATCTCAGGTCCTTGTCACCAGCATCTAAATGTTGACATTACTGCTCCCAGTATAAGGGGTTAATTTACTGCAAGTGGTGAGGCTAGCTTTGGGTTCAGTTCAGAGTTTTAAAGTGTTTAGTTTAGGTATTAGGGTTAGAGTATAATGAGTTAAGGTTTTTGGTTAAATGTTCCATTCAGCTCCATTCAGTGGCAGTAGTACCATGTGAAAGTCATTTGCCCAGCTATATGCGGAGCGGAAGAGTTCTAAATCAACACCTAAATGTATGAGGGAAGCTACCAATGCCAGGCTCCAAGAACTAAGGCCCTTGAACTAGTCCCATCACTAGTGATAAGCTGGTTGTACCAGAATGGTCAAAAGGCAGGTTCAGTTCAAAGGAAATTTCCAGGAATAAATCATAATTTGTTTACTTTAAGTATGATGGAGCCCCTCCCTACTAGAAAGATTCAAACGGACCGAGAGCGATAACTAGAGAACTTGTCTGTAGCACCACCTGCTGATGAAATATAGTATTTTGCCACCACTGTAAAATATGATACAGCCTATCCAGTCCCATAGAATCTTTGGGTTCCTCCAGAGGTTGCTGGGGGTTCCTTGAGAAGAGAGCAGAGGCAGATTGATCTCCTGGCTACACTGAGCACCAATGTAAGGGGTCACTTCTACACTGAGCACCAATGTAAGGGGTCGTTTCTACACCGAGCACCAATGTAAGGGGTCGTTTCTACACCGAGCACCAATGTAAGGGGTCGTTTCTACACCGAGCACCAATGTAAGGGGTCGTTTCTACACCGAGCACCAATGTAAGGGGTCGTTTCTACACCGAGCACCAATGTAAGGGGTCGTTTCTACACCGAGCACCAATGTAAGGGGTCGTTTCTACACCGAGCACCAATGTAAGGGGTCGTTTCTACACCGAGCACCAATGTAAGGGGTCGTTTCTACACCGAGCACCAATGTAAGGGGTCGTTTCTACACCGAGCACCAATGTAAGGGGTCGTTTCTACACCGAGCACCAATGTAAGGGGTCGTTTCTACACCGAGCACCAATGTAAGGGGTCGTTTCTACACCGAGCACCAATGTAAGGGGTCGTTTCTACACCGAGCACCAATGTAAGGGGTCGTTTCTACACCGAGCACCAATGTAAGGGGTCGTTTCTACACCGAGCACCAATGTAAGGGGTCGTTTCTACACCGAGCACCAATGTAAGGGGTCGTTTCTACACCGAGCACCAATGTAAGGGGTCGTTTCTACACCGAGCACCAATGTAAGGGGTCGTTTCTACACCGAGCACCAATGTAAGGGGTCGTTTCTACACCGAGCACCAATGTAAGGGGTCGTTTCTACACCGAGCACCAATGTAAGGGGTCGTTTCTACACCGAGCACCAATGTAAGGGGTCGTTTCTACACCGAGCACCAATGTAAGGGGTCGTTTCTACACCGAGCACCAATGTAAGGGGTCGTTTCTACACCGAGCACCAATGTAAGGGGTCGTTTCTACACCGAGCACCAATGTAAGGGGTCGTTTCTACACCGAGCACCAATGTAAGGGGTCGTTTCTACACCGAGCACCAATGTAAGGGGTCGTTTCTACACCGAGCACCAATGTAAGGGGTCGTTTCTACACCGAGCACCAATGTAAGGGGTCGTTTCTACACCGAGCACCAATGTAAGGGGTCGTTTCTACACCGAGCACCAATGTAAGGGGTCGTTTCTACACCGAGCACCAATGTAAGGGGTCGTTTCTACACCGAGCACCAATGTAAGGGGTCGTTTCTACACCGAGCACCAATGTAAGGGGTCGTTTCTACACCGAGCACCAATGTAAGGGGTCGTTTCTACACCGAGCACCAATGTAAGGGGTCGTTTCTACACCGAGCACCAATGTAAGGGGTCGTTTCTACACCGAGCACCAATGTAAGGGGTCGTTTCTACACCGAGCACCAATGTAAGGGGTCGTTTCTACACCGAGCACCAATGTAAGGGGTCGTTTCTACACCGAGCACCAATGTAAGGGGTCGTTTCTACACCGAGCACCAATGTAAGGGGTCGTTTCTACACCGAGCACCAATGTAAGGGGTCGTTTCTACACCGAGCACCAATGTAAGGGGTCGTTTCTACACCGAGCACCAATGTAAGGGGTCGTTTCTACACCGAGCACCAATGTAAGGGGTCGTTTCTACACCGAGCACCAATGTAAGGGGTCGTTTCTACACCGAGCACCAATGTAAGGGGTCGTTTCTACACCGAGCACCAATGTAAGGGGTCGTTTCTACACCGAGCACCAATGTAAGGGGTCGTTTCTACACCGAGCACCAATGTAAGGGGTCGTTTCTACACCGAGCACCAATGTAAGGGGTCGTTTCTACACCGAGCACCAATGTAAGGGGTCGTTTCTACACCGAGCACCAATGTAAGGGGTCGTTTCTACACCGAGCACCAATGTAAGGGGTCGTTTCTACACCGAGCACCAATGTAAGGGGTCGTTTCTACACCGAGCACCAATGTAAGGGGTCGTTTCTACACCGAGCACCAATGTAAGGGGTCGTTTCTACACCGAGCACCAATGTAAGGGGTCGTTTCTACACCGAGCACCAATGTAAGGGGTCGTTTCTACACCGAGCACCAATGTAAGGGGTCGTTTCTACACCGAGCACCAATGTAAGGGGTCGTTTCTACACCGAGCACCAATGTAAGGGGTCGTTTCTACACCGAGCACCAATGTAAGGGGTCGTTTCTACACCGAGCACCAATGTAAGGGGTCGTTTCTACACCGAGCACCAATGTAAGGGGTCGTTTCTACACCGAGCACCAATGTAAGGGGTCGTTTCTACACCGAGCACCAATGTAAGGGGTCGTTTCTACACCGAGCACCAATGTAAGGGGTCGTTTCTACACCGAGCACCAATGTAAGGGGTCGTTTCTACACCGAGCACCAATGTAAGGGGTCGTTTCTACACCGAGCACCAATGTAAGGGGTCGTTTCTACACCGAGCACCAATGTAAGGGGTCACTTCTACACTGAGCACCAATGTAAAGGGCCACTTCTACACTGAGGACCAATGCAAGGGGTCACTTCTAGACTGAGCACCAATGTAAGGGGTTACTTTTACACTGAGCACCAATGTAAGGGGTCACTTCTACACTGAGCACCAATGTAAGGGGTCACTTCTACACTGAGCACCAATGTAAGGGGTCGTTTCTACACTGGGCACCAATGTAAGGGTTCACTTCTACACTGAGCACCAATGTAAGGGGTCGTTTCTACACCGAGCACCAATGTAAGGGTTCACTTCTACACTGACCACGAATGTGAGGGGTCACTTCTACACTGAGCACCAATGTAAGGGGTCACTTCTACACTGAGCACCAATGTAAGGGGTCATTTCTACACTGAGCACCAAGGTAAGGGGTCACAACTACACTGACCATCAATATAATGGTTACTTCTACACTGACCACCAATGTGAGGGGTCACTTTTACGCTGACCACCAATGTAAGGGGGTCACTTCTACACTGAGCACCAATGTAAGGGGTCGTTTCTACACTGAGCACCAATGTAAGGGGTCACTTCTACACTGAGCACCAATGTAAGGGGTCACTTCTACACTGACAAAAAATATCTCTATGTCACTACAAGTTTCACTATCTGGACTTCTTTTCTGGTCATTATTGTTATTTGTCTCATTTCATGATTTTCAGTATAGATTTCTTTTATTTAAAAGTTTCTACAACCTACTGATCATGTTTATCTATCATAAGCTGTAAGGCTAATCATTTTACTGGGGGTTCCCTGACACCTGAAACTATTCAAATGGTTCGTCCTTGTTATAAAGGTTTACAAAGGCTGTTCTGTAAGAACTGCACGATTCTATGATGCTGACAAGGGGTGTCATTTGGGGAAATCCTATTTTTCTGAATCCCCCCCCTTTTAGGGAATACATTTAAGTTATTCCAATCAGTGACTTTATTATTAACATGATAATAATATTTTTCCATACAGGAAAAAGTGATGTTAGGAACTGACTATCCTTTTCCGTTAGGAGAGCATAATCCTGGACTCCTTATTGAATCGATGGAAAGTTTTGACATGAATTTAAAAGTAAGATTTTCTTGTTCAGTTATTAAAGCATACCTGTAATATCTATACCTAGGGGACAATTTACTATTATTATACAGGATTTATATGGCGCCAACAGTTTGCGCAGCGCTTTACAATATAAGGAAGACATTATAATTACAATACTATTCAAGACAAGATGGTAAGGAGGTCCCTGCCCCTGAGGGCTTACAATCTAAAAAAGGATGGGCCAGTGATACATGAGGAGGTAGCTGTGAGGGGATGAATTGTTTTAATGAATTTATAACAGAGAGCAGATATCGCTATCCACTTTTCATTATACTCATCAATGTTTTTCAATATTGTGGCCTCTAAATGGCAGCCCATTCACAAAATGCAGGCTGCAGTATTGAGCTTGTACTACTCCAAGGAGTTGTCTCCAATCAACTGCAGTCACTGTTCTGTTATTCTGACATTTGTGGACACCAGCTGTCAGAATACAATAGCTGGCAGGGGATATTCCCCCATCCACATTGCTCAATGTACTTGGTAGGGATCCACCAAAACTTTTTTTTTTGGTACTTGCCGATACCGAGTACCGATACCGGTGTTGTGTGGCCTAATTATCAGGAAGCTGGGTGGCGGATCACTACCCGACACCTGGCTTCCTGATTGCTTGGGAAGCCGGTGTTCTATCGAAAGAACACCAACTTCATTTCCTGAGGCTGCCTGACCAATCAGGAAGCCGGTTAGTGGGTCATGAGGTGCTGTCCGGCTTCCTGATTGGTCAGGAAGCCAGGCTGCGTAGCAACAAGTAAAGCCGCCTTCCTAGCCAATCAGGAAGCCAGGCGGCACGTCATGACCTGCCTCCTGGCTTTCTGATTGGTTAGGAAGCCAGCTTCACTTGTTGCAAGGCAGCCTGGCTTCATGACCAATCTGGAAGCCGGGAGGCAGGTTATGACGTGCCACCTGGCTTCCTGATTGGTTAGAAAGCCAGGCTGCCTAGCAACAAGTGAAGCCAGCTTCCTAACCAATCAGGAACCCTGGAGGCAGGTCAAAACCCAGTGCCCGGCTTCGAGATTGGAAAGGAAGCCGGCTCCATGCTCCCTCAGAGCTCTCCCTCTGACTGGAAGTTCCAGTATTGCAGGTAAGCATCAGAGCATTTGGGCGAGTACTCGCCCAAATACTCGGTATCGGCACTGATACAGATACTAGTATCGGTGCATCCCTAGTACATGGTTTGGACAAGCCCTAAATGTCTTCTTGTTAAAGAGTTTACATCTACTTTAAAGATTATGCTTATAATAAAAGCCTTCCATTAATAACATAAACACCATTTTCCATCCTCTTATTTTCCAGGACAAGCTCTTGGCTGCCAACGCATTGTCATTCCTGGGACTGGACAGAACAAACTTTGAATGACCTCAACCATCTAAGAATGTTGATCTCTTTAGATCCTGCGATAGCACATTGTTTGCACGTGGTGAATAGTTTTATTTGACATAACTCTAGATTTTTCACCAGGTGAATGTTTGACAACTGAGGGCGTGAACCTGGATGGAATGCGTCCCGGGGCTTAGGTGCCCTTATAAAAAGATCAGTTCTCATCTGTATTGTGTAAACAGCCTCGGCCGTGAAACTGGAATTGACAATGAGCCGGGGACATTGATTGCTGCTTTTGTCACAATTGTTTCTTTCCTGAAATGAACTTTTCAGGAACGTTTCTGTGAACTGTCTAGAAACATGTTTATTATTGTGCACACACCCAGGAATTCTCCCTTCAGTTTCCTATAGTTAAATCTTTTACAACAATGTATTTAAAGTCAATTGGCTACAAAATGTTTTTGCTTTTTTTTTTAGTAGCAATGGATTTATTGCCATTTTTGTTTATTTCTCAGCAAGCAAAATAAATAAATAAATAAATTAGAAATCATGTGTTTTAATAGTTGTCTACAGACCCTCATTTCCAGGTCCTAGGTTTTCATCGCTGAAGTGCGAGCTCTAATAGACCCTCCATAAAGAGAACCTGCCACCTCCAAACGCTATCACATGGGGCTTATTAACCCCTGTGTGCAGTGGCGTAACTAGTGACCTCAGGGCCCCGATGCTGTGTGATGAGGGGGCGGGGATTACACCGCTCCCACTCATTGGCTGCTGCCCGGCTGGATGATGCTTCACGCTGCGCCCAGAACAAGGTGAGGGGAGCAGCGTGAAGCATGTAGGGCCGAGGACAGGAGTAAGAAGTCCCGGGACTGGTAATCAACGGTTACCAGGGGCCCCTTCCTCCTGTCCTGGGCCCCCTCCAAGTGGCGGAACTCCAGGGCCCGGTCGCGGCCGCGACCTCTGTGACCCTGGTAGTTCCGCCACTGCCTGTGTGATTGCAATAAAGTAGGAAAACAGATGTTAAAAAAAAAGTGAAAAATAATAAAATAGAAAAAAAATAAAACCAACCCCTGCATGCTAATAAACGCGCGTGTATATAAACTATGCTTTCGCCACACGTTAGCTATCACAGAGACATTGGAGTGAGAAACCCATACAAACTCCTTGCAGATAGTGTCCTGACCCAATCTCCAGATTTGAACCAGAGACCCCACGGTTGCAAAGCAGAAGGGCTAACCACTACACCACTGTGCTCTTGTATCATTAACATGCACCTTTATGTGTGGTAATGCTTATTACTATGGGGCCATAAACATTATTACTATGGGACCAGGAAAAAGTAGAGATGCACCAATGCTAGTATCGGTATCTCGTACTCACCCAAATGCACCGATGCCTAGCCCAAAACTTCTGGTATCATGAAGCCAGGCAGCAATTCATTACACTTTGCCCGGCTTCCTGATTGACCGGGAAGATGGCCAATCAGGAAGCTCTCTGATAGGCCGGGAAGACGGCTTCATGCTCCCTCATCACCTCATGACGAGGGAGCATGGAGCCGGCTTCCAGGCCAATCAGGAAGCTTGGGCGCCGTGTCATTACACAGTGCCCGACTTCCTGATTGGCCAGAAAGCCAGCATCATGCTTTCTCGTCACCTAGTGACGAGAAAGCATGGGGATGGCTTCCCGGCTAATCAGGAAGCCAGGTGGCGAGTCATTACACGCCGTCTGACTTCCTTAATGGGACTTCCGTTATCGGTATTTAGTATCGGCGAGTACAGAAAAAAAAGTATTGGTACTCGATAACCAAAAACCAGTATCAGTGCATCCCTAGTAATAAGCATTAACACACATAAAGGGGCATATTCATTTTTTTTTATTACCCTGCTGCACCATAGCCCAACAACGTGGACTGCCCAAATAGAATATGGTGGGTTTTAAATGTTCCTGTGGTAACACTTATGTATGAGTAGAGCCTTCAGTCATTTTTCATGGATGGGATTGTAGAATCCAAAATGATCACAACTGATAAGACACCAGTAATCCACTTCCTGATAGTGTTACTTCTATTGAGGTTCTACATTTTCCCAACAAGCCATCATCTTTGTCAGATTAGTACATTTCTTCCTCAGTATCTCAAAACGTCCTGTAAAGGTGTGAAAGCCTATTAATACCATGATAGAATTAAGAGCGAGAAGTCGCCTGCCCAGGGTCAAGAAAACAATTCAATTGTTGCTGTTGTTCAGAAACATGCTGCCATTGTATCTGTTTAATGTTCCCACAAATGACATATGCATTACACAAAAGGGCAATTAAATGCTCTAGACGTGGTAACACCAGGTCACCAGAGGTCAGCACTATGCAGGTTCCAATGTCCTAAAGATCCCAATCCATAATGCAACTTAAAATGGAACTGTATTCAAAAGTTCAGTTTTGCTATGTTTTAGGTAATATATGGAGATGTTAATTTTGCCTAAGAAGTACCCGGACAAGTGTACCTTCTATCTGAATACCTCTAAAAAAAATATCAGAGCACTTCCTGGTATGTGAGGGTACCTGGGCACTTCTGTACCTACAGCCTCATATATCTAAGGTTGCCACCATTTCTTCAAGTGAAACCCGAACCATCTAGCGCTGCATTTTTTTTTTCTTGGAGCATATATTGGAGAGGCAGCCAGGAGAAAGAGCAAGAAGGGACAGCCAGGGGAGGGAGTAAGGAGGCCGGCTATAGAGGACAACAAGTTCCAGCAATACATTATACAGCAATACAAAATAAATATCAAGCGACATATGTGTTGTTCCGGGGTGGCTTCCTAATGTCTACAGGATCTCAAGTGGCCTGTGCAGGCCCTCACCAGGTCTGTCCTGGCTCTCAGGTGGACTCTGCGGACTCTCAGATGAGCTGTGGAGGCTCTCAGGTGGGCTGTGCAGGCTGTCAGGAGGCTGTGCAGGCTCTCAGATGAGCTGTGGAGGCTCTCAGGTGGGCTGTGCAGGCTCTCAGATGGGCTGTGCAGGCTCTCAGATGGGCTGTGCAGGCTCTCAGGTGGCTATGTGGGCTATGCAGATTTCAGGAGTGCTGTGCGATGTCTCACCAGGGGTCTGGAGGCGGGCAGCATGGTGTCAGGAAGATGTAGTAGATGTGCAGGCCTGCACCTGTTTACATGCGCCTGTGGCTCGCAGGAAGGCTGCCAAGGTCCCACGTTTGCTGGGGACCTCGGCAGCCTTCCTGTGAGCCGTGGGGCCCGCACTTCTCCTCTTCCGTCTTTCTGAAACCTGTCAAAAAATGTAAAGTGTCCGGGTGTCAGCTAGACTGAAACCTGGACACAGGACTCAAAAACTGGACAGGTGGCAACCCTACATATATCTGTATATGAACACTGTGAGCTCTAAGGCACTGCTGCATCTGACTGGTAGTCTCAGGAGATTTGGAGAGAGATTTGATGATTTTACAACTGTGCTGCTCACTGTTCTCCTTGCTGGAGGCTGCCTGCACACAGAAACTCAGTGCAGAACAAGGCATAGGAAGTAATGGGATAAAGATCAGCTGCAGGGAGACCACAGGCAACACTGGCGACTAGTTATTTCCACTTTGCCTGCCTTTTTTGGCACAGTTAATTTTACCTTTAATAGTTCATCCATGAAGTTGTAAGGTGCACATACAGTACATATGATATGACTGTGATATGATGTACCAACCATATAATAAAAACATAGTTTTTCACTTGTATTTAATAGGCCTAAGATGGAACTCTGCCTATGAGAAACCCAAAATGTAAAAAAAAATGATCGCTTTCACTGTCCTCTAAAGAGTATGGGTGTTGGCAACAGCCTGCACCTCTCGTATTAGATTTTGACGCACTGTGTTCTTTTCTGGAAAAAGCCACCGCTCCAAGCTCTCTCCTATGATGGCCTACAATCTTACGTTTAGTTTACTCATTTGAAGTGAGATTGTAGTCCATCACGGGAGTGAGCTTGGATCGGTGGCTAGTTTACAACACACACAGGGACCATGGGGAACAAAAGTACCCACCCTCCAGAAGGAAGGACAGTGTCAGCACCAATTCAGAGATGATTGGAGGATCTACAGCCGAGTGATACACAAATAAGATACATTTTTGTTAATAGTTAAGGTACTTGAATGCATTTTTAGGATTTAGCTCCTGAATGAAAGGGTTATTAAACCCTCAGTTTTTTTTTTGCATATATCAACTGCTAGCAAGCAGTAGATATATACAAAAACTTTTTTTTTTTTTAAGTTTACAAAAAAAAAAGATGTTTAAACTTACATGTGTCTTCCCCGCGCGCTCATGTCCGAAAATCTGAAAAATTTCGGGCGGCCGCAAAGGATCTTGGGGCGGGCGCATGCGCAGTTCAGATTTTTGGCCAGGAGACGAGGAGAGACACAAGATAAGTCTATGGACAGCGTGCACCCGCATGCAGACACTGTGGGACAGGAAGTGCCAGCAAGGACAGAGGAGTCAGCGCTGGATCGGAGACCCGCAGCAGCGCTGGAGAAGGCAGAAAACGACAGGAAAGAAGAAGATCGGATTAATAGACATCATTTAAAGTAAGTCCTTACACTAACATTAGGGGGAGGGGAAAAAAATGATCCTTTAATGTCAAAGTCTGAAAGGTGAAGTATCTCCACTCAGGGCCACCAGTCCAACATATATAATTTGTACTGTCCTGGGGGCAAATGCTTACCATTAGTCTACCCTTGGTCATCACCTACCCATGATAGGTCAATCTGGAATCTAATTGTGGGACCTTTTCATGTCAATAGCTGAGCACACACGACACCTCTGGCTCCTACATTCTGATGGTCACTTGAATATGAAAGGAAGATTCGGCTCCACTTGCTCGGGTGAGAACTTTCCACTGTGTATTGCTATTGTATTGTTATGCTTACATGCATCTATCTCCTCTGAAAGTAATATTAAATGTTGCCCTCACAACAAAATTCCATCTCAGTGCACCCTGTCGAACGCCTTTTCCGCGTCTAGAGCAAGGAGCAGAGAGGGTGCCCTGGAGCCATGGGCATGATGGATTATGTTAAGGACGCGGCGGGTGGCATCAGGTGCCCCAAAATTCCATCTTTTAAAGGTGTTGGGTGACAATATTCCAATCTGGTCATTCTCAGAGGGTCATTCCACTTGTAAAAACCTGGTGGACGTTGTGAATGGTGAATGAGTCTGCCAGACCTGAGGAAATGAATGAGGATATATAATTGCGGCTGTGGATCTTGTATTCCAGAATCCTGCTGCACTCCTTATCGGGTATCCCTGTCAGCGTGGGTGCTCGAAGTGCCCGCGGATGGCGCCGCCAATACTAAAAACGATGTCGCCAGTATAAACACCAAGTCCTGTAGTGGATATCGTAGGGG